ATGGCCAGTTGTCTTCCTGTGTATTACCAGAGAGTATAAAGGGTTGTCACAAGTCTCTCTTGTTTGTAGATGTGGGCTTTTAAATTCCTAGATGTCTCACCAATGTAACTGTTTCTACATTACAAGCACTTTTAATAAATCCTGACATTTGAAGTGGTGTTGGATCTAGTTTTCTTCCTAATTATATCTCCAATTGTCTTAGAGGTGGTGGTAAAGACCCTAGTGTTGGGTATAACTAATTCATTTTCAAATTTTCTAAAGTGTTGGAGGGAAAGATTATGAACTTTGTGTTTTTAATGTTAGAAATGACTTATACTATAATCTTATTCTATCAGTAATACTTACATAAATTCCTGACTTTTGAAATTTCATCACCTGAAGAAGGCTGGAGTGTACAATGGCTGAATGCTGTGAATGTAGCAACAGAGATGAGGAGAGCAGTCTAAACAATGTAAATAGTGTAAAGAATTCCTGACCACTAACATCTTTCTTGATTTTTCAATGCACAACATAAGGGTTGGGTACTGAAATTTTTGTCTTCTACTGCCAGCAATATTTATTGTAGAAAATGACTAACAATAAAGATGAGTAATGGTAAAGCCAGTGGGCAGGGATGAGAAACAACTTAAAAAAAAATCATTTCACCCCAAGCAAGACAATAAAGCCACTAAGATACAAAAGGTTACTGAGTATGAGAGGACAATGAAGGAAGAGGAATTAAGGAGACAAGGTAACAAATAAGTTTGCATTTAAATTTTTGAAGGTCAAAGTTGACTGGGAAGCAACAAGCCAGAAGAAAGGTCCCCAAGGAAGAAATGTGAGAGAAGATAACTGTTAGCATAGAACTTAGAGTTAAATCTAGCCATTTCAGCTGTAAGATGATGAAACCTAGCTGCCAATCTAGTATTGCAATTAAATTTGTAATGTTTATATACCAAAGAGGAAAGCTAATCAGAACAATTACTATGAACATATTTATACAGATGACACAAGACTGAAACCAAGATACCATGTTAGGATTTATAATATTGCAGATAATTATTTGTATTTTATCAAGAAGTACATAGTAGAATCCCCAGACCAGATATGGTAACAATATTCAATATAGGGACATGTGAATGCAGATTTTGCTAAAATAGAACCAAGTGTTTCATATATATTTTTTATAACAAGCTGTGTAAATAAATACAAATCTGAGAGACCCCTTTTCTGTCTTCCATCAGTCTAGCTAATGGCAACTTCCAGGAGAGTGAATCATTGTGTCTTTTCAGGGTAACATTTTTCACAGACATGAAGTGGAAAGATTATATTGAATCAATTGCTAAGTCAAAGTTATAAGTCAACTATTTGTCCATGCATTGAATATTGCTGCTACATCCAGTCTGGTGCTCCTGCTATGCATTTAGTGATTCTTCCTAAAATCCAAAGAATATGCAATGGTACTTGTCCTTCAGTCCCTTTCCCACAACCATAAAATAGCTTCCCTCTGCCTTTTCTATAACTACTTTCACGATAATTGTTCTGATGAGCCTACCTCTATGGTACTTAGACTTTACGAATTTAAGCACAGTACTTTATTGGCTAGATGCAATCGTGAATTCTATGCTAACAGTTTCTTTTCTCACCCTTCTCACTTGTAGGACTCAGTGTCATGTTTCCCAGTCAACTTTAATCTTCAAAAATTTAAACGTAATGTCAATTGTCATCTCTCCTCTTGTTCTTTTATTCTCTTTCCTTAGTAGTACTTTTCAATTTTTCACATACTAACACTTAGTAATGCCTTGCATCTTAGTGGATTTATTGCCTTGCTTGGAGTGAAATGATTAAAAAGAAACAATTTATACAAAGACTGCAAGGAATTTTCTTAGCCCAATCAAAAGAAAAAAAAAAAATGGCTGATGATCTGATGTCTGGAAGTGGGTCACCCCACACCCCACATGCTATACATTGTGCTGAGAATGTTATCTAAATTTTCTAGGAGAGATTAAACACACCTGAGTGGTTTAACTATCAATAATGCTGATAACTTTACGGATTAAGGTGATTTATTTCAAGCTAGTCGATAAGCTGAGGAAAATTGTTGTAAGGAGGGATTACCTCCCTTTGAAATCAATATTTCAGGCCCTGGCTATGAACCTTGGCTCACATACATCTACCTCACCCAATTTTTATTTTACTCATAATCAGTTCAATGTAAACAACTGATTATGGGTATACTGAACATATGAAAAAGCAAATTTTGAAAATTACAAAAGCATTTCTAAACAACTTTCGGCAAAACTTGGATCTTCATGCCTACAAAAAAAAGTGTCAAAAGGACAGACTTTCCTTTAACGCTGCTATTATTTTAACTACCTTCACTTGGTGATGTGTATCATTTTAAAAAGTGATTAGAATTATAACAAAACCTAAACATGATGAAAGTGAATTTTTATGTCCTTAAAAATTTACAATCATTTTATATTTACAGCATTCTAAAAACTAATACAATGCAACATATATAATTTACCAATTTATAAAGAAACAAATATGAAAACAATTTTTTATTCAGAAATTTATAAACATTTACTAAATTATTAAAATATATGGACCAACTATAAGGAAATCCTTATTTACCATTTTATAAAGTTTAAATCACTTGGCAAATAGCTGGTGTTTTGCCAACTATTCCAATAAACAATTTAATAAATAAATAATCTAATATTTCTGTTGCTAATTCTCAAAAAAGAAAAAAAAGTATAAATTCACTTTCATCAAGTTTAGATTTTATTACAATTCTAATCAACACTTTTCAAAAACAATATTTCCAAGGAGTAAAAGTAGTTAAAAAAAAATCCTTTTGATAGTTTTTTTTTTTTTTTTTTATGTGGGTATTAAGGTTCAAATTTGCCCAATTTTCAAATTGCTTAATGTTTTTATTGATTATAAATTCCTTTATCATATCATATGCATCAACTGCCCCCATCATCATAAATTGATGTAGTCAGGTTGAATGTCCTCATCTCTGGTGTTATAATACTGTACACTTTATCCTTCATCAATGTCTGTCATATTTGATAAAAATAAGAATTTGAAACAGAAATCCATGAAGGCAGATTCTCATTCCCCTGATGAGATCTATAATAGAAATTAATTCTTCCAAATTAATTTGTACTTGTGAAGCCACTGGTTTCTTTCCACTAAACCAGAGTATGACATTTTGTACTACCAAACACAGGGATTGAACATAAAGCCACTAGCTAATAGAGGCAGAAGCTCAGCATGTAGCTATATTGTTTTTTAAATCAATTCACCCCAAACACCACTAAGATGCAAGGAGCTACTGGAAGTGAAAGAGAATGAAAAAACTTTAAAAGGTATCAGAAACTCAATAATAGTATAAATTTCAGAATTTAAATGAAGCAGAATTTAGAAAGAACCCAAAACCCAATCCTAAACAGGAAACAAGGGATAAAACTATTTACATTGTTCGGATTGTTATTCTTATCCTTATTGCCAACGCTTTTATTCGCTGGGCCATGTGGATAAAAGTGTTGGCTGAGTGATCCAAAAAGTGACTTGACCCAAAGAATTGAGTTCAATACCTGGCTACGAACAAAAACTTGGAAAGTTGAGTTACTAAGAGGAATTAACTAAAAATGATATATTCAAAGGCACTGTATGTGAAATTAGAACAATCTTGGACTAAGTAAATTGTTTGGCTTGAAATTCCAGCATTATCACCTGAAGATGGCCAAAACATTGTGAATATGGCAATAACAATGAGGACAACAGCCCGAACAATGTAAATAGTTATGTTATCTCAAAAATATACAGATGTTGAAAGGATCAACCCCTACTCCTGTTCAAAAGACTGAAGAGGAGGTGAACCTATGTTAATATCTTTTAAGCATTCAAAATAAATAGTCCAGGCCCATACAGCTGAGGAATTTTTTTATTGCACTTTCTAATAGTCAGGTTTCTTTAACCTGGCACTTCTTTTGAATCAGCCACCATTAGTTCATTGGTGGCTACAAGGACAGTGCCACACATTGATGACACAACAGCAGAGTGTTTTGATGATAGTGTTGCTCATTTCTTATGTATAGCTCCATATTCACTCATTCAGGATAAGTATATATTTTTTGATTTTAGGCTCTTTTTTTTATCAATCCCATGTCATCTCTATAAAAAATTTTTTGAAACAATAAAAAACTTGTTTGGAAGCATTAATGATTGTTCTATTTACTATTTTTAGTTTTGTTCTGATTTTGATTTCTAGGAGGGGGAATTCTAGTCTGACAGTGGCCTGGTACCAAGGGTGCCAGATTAAAAAGGTTGGACTGTATGACCCTAGGACTCAAAAAAAAGTTACAAGTACACTGTATGTAAATAATTTTTTTCCTCTTCCTCTCTCCCTCTCATACGTTAGGCTAAATTTAACCCATTGCTGACTAAATATGACTACCCCTTGTGAGGGGCCTCATTCAACAGTCAGATGTTACTGTTAGTGTATTGTGCTCTAAGCAAAAAGAGACAGGTAACATCCAAAGGATAAATTAAATAGGACTTAATTGATTAACTTATAGAAAGATTTCTTCTTGCATGATCATCAAAATAAGAACAATCTACCAACATGGATTTTGGTACAAATGTATGAAGGCCAGAGAATAAAATGGCTGAAATGAGAATAGTTTGAATTTACCTCTAATTGATTTATCTGACAACTTTCAAAAAGGAAAACTTTAAATTCATTTCCAATTCTTAGCACATTTACAGAATACTCCTTAATCAACAAATAGAATTCATTTTTTTTTTTTTTTTTTTTTTATTCAACTTTTAAGAAATAAAACAAACTTCAAGGATCCTTTTTATTTTATTTGTGAAAATGTCTTCACGGTTTAATGAAAGGAATGCAAGAAATTCAACTGGAAGTCACTGCATCATCTGATTTGCAAATGGTGCAAGAAACCAAACCTCATTGGGGAATAGTCCTCACTTCATATACAGGAACCCAGATGTCACAGGAGAGCAGACCTGAGTTCATAATTCAATAAATTCTTCTACAAAAAGACACAAATAAAGACGAGTTTTCCATATAAATAAATTCCAGAAAATTACGGCAGAATAAATCAACAATAAAAAATATTTACAACAAACAGAAAACAATTTCTTATTTTTTTTTGATTCTTGGTTTTGAAAAAAAAAAAAAAAAAACATTTGGCAATCAAAATTTCCCAGGATTTCTTGCTGTTTTTTTTCTTTTCTTGTCTCTTTAATAAGACACAGAATGATAGAATCAAAGATTAAGACATAAAAATGGAGTTTTCAAAACTGTTGTTAGCCCTGATCCACAAACATCAGTAAAATATTATCCTAATCTTTATAGTTATTATTACATTTTCAATTTTTCTTTCAGATATTGGGGTCAAGACTTTCCTAAGGGACTAAATAGAATCATAGTACTGAGGGTACCCCTGAGAAAGAAAGACTTGAAAGTTTGAATAGCCACACTTTGGCCATAAAGCTGAATCAACAATGTAAGTTTTTCAGTTGATTATAATCCAAATGGCCAGCCCAAAAATAAATGTCAATCCCAGAGGACCCAGCTTCATAAAAAAAAAAAAAAAAAAGAACGAACTTAGCCAGTATGGTAGAAAGAAATTCAACCAGGAAAGAAAACAGTAATAAAAACAATAAAGAAAGAGAAAGATAATCCAAGAATATATACTTTTTTTTTTTTTATCAATACTGTGTCATCTTTATAAAAATTTTAACATCATCTTATCTCTTTTTTGAAGATGATTTTGACTTGGTGGGTTTTTTGCCATCAGAGAAAAGAGAAGTGAAGAATTCTGATAAATCAGGTAAACTTTGTTTGGCATTGAGGGCATTCATCTGGGACTGAACCTCTCGTTGAGTGTCAGGGTCAGCAGCATTCATCATTTTGGGAAGCACCATGATAATAAGGAGTGGCAGAATCATGGTCAGAACCATTGGGTTGAAGAGAAAGTCTGTGATACGCCATTGTTCTCGCATCTGAACAAACAAAAAGAAGAAGAAACATTTAAAAAATGTCAGAATTTCACTATTCTACAGACATTTTTTTTTATTAATATCTTTTGTTGCTTTCCATTAACTATCTTTTGTTTCAACCTTCAAATAGAATCTGAAAACTGCTGTATCTGATACAACACTGTTCCAAATTTGCCAAAATCTATTGTGCCACAATTTTTTTTTAAACTAATTTTCTACCTAATACAATACCCAAAAGTCAATCAAGGTAGATGGTTACCAAATAAAGATGTTTTAGGGCGAGAGCAAGGGTTGCATACTATGAGGATATGTAGGATAGATAACGGTTGATCCTCAACTTGAAGATGTTATGATTGTAGTGATCAGGAAAGTATCCTCTCAGATATCTGTTCTACATTACAACACTTCTGCTGTTTGAGTGGAACTTCCTCCTCACCAATGGAATATGAAAAGAAGGAGGAGGAGGAAGAGTTGACTCACTGTACATGGCAGGGTGGGACCTAGCTGTGAAGGTCTGGATTGGTGGAACCAATTAATGTAGTTTGCCCAAACAACTGCCATGAAAATAGTAATAGAGTAGCAACGTTGCATCGACGGGGAAATGGTGGAAAGCAACTCATCACCCCCAAAAATACTTTTGAACTCTGCTGAGGCTGGAAAGTGAGGACTGGGCAGCCTAAATGTGGCAACAATGCTCCATTTTTGGTCTGATCTGGCTTTTGTAAAGACAGATCATGGCAGGGGGTGACAGGTACTTTCTGGAGCGGTACAGGGAGCCAACTATTTTAGCAGTGTCTTTAGTGATGGATTATTTATACAAGGTCTGATGTGAACTAGAGTCCCAAAAGACATTCATGGCATGGAGCATCCTTGAGAGCATAACTGTTCATCTCTATTGTTGAAAACTAACTCAGGGACTGATCTGTGATGAAGAAATGTTGCTGGCTTGGTTTTGGAAGTATTGAATGTTAGAAGCCAGTTCCTTCTGCATTGTGCTGTCTGAACAAGGTCAGCAGAGATGAAAATATATTAGCTAAGCTTAGGTATCTTTGGTTTAAGGCCAGTTTCAGAGAGCACCCAGTGAGACACCAACTTACTAACAATAGTTTTCAAGACTTGTGCTTTAATTTGAGATACTATTTTTGGAAACAAATACAAAAGAAATTTCCCCCACTTTTTAGTTTTCTATCTCTTAGAGGGAAAAGAAATTAAGTTAAAATTCTTCAATTTGAGTTTTGCAAGATTTGGAATTACATATTAGAAAAATTCTGAATTTTTTTTCCTTCTACACAAAGAGAAAGAATCTGAAGGAAAGTCTGAAGTGTTTGAACTGAAATTGGTACCAGTTAAGTGATTAAGTGCACAAACAATTTTGGCCATCACAAATGAATTACCAGTTTTAAGCAACTATTCTTACATTTGAAAATATATAAAAAATTGGTCTTGTTAAGAATTTATCCCCTCCTTCCAATGGATATTTTATTGATATGTGTTTATAGTTTGATTCCCATATAAAATCTGGATAAAATACAAGAGGAACAAAAGAATTTGTTATATTACTTTGGACTAAATTACCCTTGATGAAAAATTGCAACACCAACTACAGCATAGCTATTTAAAAGAAGTTGTATTATTTATTTTTCAGTTAATAATATTGCCTGGTCATATCAGTAACTTTGTACCAAAATTCTTTTTTTTTTAATTTTTTTACTGGAATAAAACCAATAAAAAGTAAAAATTCCTAATGAACTCTGGATCCAACTGGACAATCACCTTGTGATCTGAACATATTTTAGCAAGTAGAATTTTATGGGGTGGGATTGCAAGCTCCACTCTCTACTGTTTTTTTTGTGTGTGTGTTTTTTTTTATTCACAGTTGAGAGAAGTGGAGTCAGTTCCTAGTTTTGAATTAAAAATTTTCCCTCCCCTATTTGTTGCTGACCAAGTGTGGAGAATTCAGTCTAGCCTGTTATTTTAGCCATAGCTGATTGTTGGTTGATTCATTTTTTGCAGCTTATCAACCTTTTTAGCCATAGCGGGGATTAGTGGAGACAGATTTATGCCAGAGATTTACCTTAAACCCCACTGAGTCAGGTTGTGACACAAGGTCAGTTTTTAATGAAGGGACCCGAGTGTTTCCACTTGGGCCAATGGTCATAGCTTGTCTAAGCTAGTCATAGCTGGTCATACCACTGCTATGTAATTGATGTTATACAATGGGGAGGGGGTGCAAAGGAGGATGGAAGGCCTCCGGAACAAAACAGATACTACAACTGCAGCATCTACTCGGATAGGAAAAAAACCAAAAAAAAAAAAAAAAAAAAAACCTTCTCCTCCTATACCAATTCTTCCAGAAGAATTCCAGGAGAGCTACAGACAGATTTATGCCCTTTCTAAGAGCATTAGAGAAAAATGGGTACAAATTTGAACTCAGCCTGTCAACACACAGACCCCCTCCCCTAATGAAAATTATTAACACCTATTGATATATCTATTTCTTTTTCCGTCAAATCTCTTGAACATGTTCGTGTTGAAGTTTTACTTAACTAAACAGAAAATGAAGTTGTTGACTTAATTGCAAATTCAAATTTGTGTCCACTTTGTAGTAATGCCTTTAGGAAAAGTTTGAACGTTTCTCTCACTCCCAACTAAAATAAAGGTAAACTGAGCCCTCTAGCCTTGGTTGGCAACATCAAGAAGGAAAATTTTGAATTCAAATCCAGGAAGGAATCAATTCTTCCACTTGGCTGTAGGTAAAAAAAAAAAAAAAAAAAGGGGTTTGCAAGCAACAAACTCAAGTAAAAAGTTGACATTGTTCTTAAAACATTTTCTTTTAGCCCAAAACACACAGGATGACCTTGTTACTTGAAAACCATGAACCTTCAATTATTAAGAAAAGAGAAAAATACAAACCTGAAAATAAGTTGCTCGTCCTCTTTCTCGAAATTCAAGTGGATAAGCAATAGTTTTTACGGAGGCTGGTTGAAGATTATTGACTCTTCGTGCTCGAATTTTGCCCTTAGAATTGATATCTACTCTTGCTGGTTCAAATAAGTAACCAGGATGAGTAATTTCGACTACATAAGACCCAGATGGGATTCCACCAATGCTAAAGGTACCATCAGGCCTCAAGTAACTAAGATAATCACCACCATCAATAAGTACTCGAACATAAGGCATCCAGTCTTTATCTAAAGAGGTTAAAATCTGAAAAGAAAAAAAATATCACAATTATGATGAAATCTAATTCAGTTCTGAATTCAATTGTAATATTAGCTGTTTTCTTATAAGGAAACTTTCGTCATTCATTGATCGAGTAGCCAGTGCTACTTTGGGTTTAAATTTATAAAATCTTTCTATTAAAACAATTTTTCACAAAAATACATTTCTCAAGTCCACTGTTATTGCTCTTTCCAGTATTGATTGAGGGGAGGGGCTTACTTCCTAATCCTTTGTTTGAAGTAGTATGAGTGTCAACATCAAGATTATATTGTTATTTTATCTTCAAGTTACATGTGCTATCAATTTCACTTGTTGCTGTAAGTCACTTGTTCATGAGGTTTCTGTTATTTAGTACAGTTCTTGCAATAGTATCACTCCACAAGGATTGAAAAGGATGATCTACAGGGATCATTGACCTTAGAAAGCAACTGTATACCATTTTAGATCATTTAGACATTTCTGAAGGAGCTGGAAACCATGCATGACATTCGCAGGAGAGACTCAATCTGACAAGGCTATTTAGGAACATGACTAGAGTTCTTTAATTTCATGTTTGGGTTTTGTGGCATCTTTTGGGATTGAACAAAACTACCCCTCATACAGTTTTCAGTAATTATTAATTCCACATCTTGAATTTTTAGGGAAATGCAAATACATATATATATATATATATATATATATATATATATATATTGTATATACTCATATATCATACGACTTTTGAAGGCCTAATTTTGAAGCTAATTTTAAGTGGCCATATCATACACAAGATATAAAATTAGTATATGTACTGCTGGTTCTGGCCATGCCACTGAACAAACAATATATCCATTTACTGTAGTCAAATTAGCTTAAAAATTAGGTCTTCATAAGTTGCATGATATACGAGTATATACAGTGTGTGTATGTAACATATGTCAGTCTTGAGAAAACCTTTGCTCTGAGCCTAAAGAGTTATACCTCAGCTGCTGATGGCAGAGCAGCATCTGTTATGGTTGTACAGTCCCACGCAGGAGTGATTGTCTCGATTGCAATGAATGCATGTGAAGACACTCTTCTCCCAATCTCATCTTGTTTTCTTTCCACTGAACATGCTTCTCCCCAGCGGCAAGCCTTCATTTCTTCATTCCTCACTCCTCAGTGTAAATCATGTCTCCAGCATGAGTGGTTGTTGGCAATATCTTCCTACCTCTCAATGTCCATTGACCTCATGTCCCTTCTGCAGATATCCTTGAAGTGAAGATGAGGTTGCCCTCTTGCCTGTGGCCAGTTCCCCATACAGAAGGACCTTAAGGTTTAAAATGAGAGTTTTCCTTCTTTTATATAAAAGTGGGTATTGAGGTTAACACCTAGCAGTGACTGTTTCATGCTTGAATGCAATATTCTTCAGGCCATGACCTGAAGAATGTGTTCGAGCATGAAACACTGTTGATGCTTGATGTTGGCCTCCATATTCACTTTTATTTTTATCTATCCTCAAGTTCTTTTACCCATAAATATAGCACACATTAAACCTATGTTTATCATATATATATATATATATATATATATATATATATATAATGGCTGGCCAGTTGTATTCTAGTATGCCTGTCTACTAGGGCAATTTGCCAATCCCTGTTGCAGATGGCTGCTCAGGCATAGTTGTGTTTGTTCAAACCTACATAGCCCACCACTGGTTTATACTGCAACTATACCGAGAAGTTTGAACAAAGTCATTATGCTCAAGCTATCATGCTAGCATTATAACACTACAGGGCATCCTGGCCCCTGCGCTACATAACAACGCTGTCCCGTCCTCAGTTGCCAGTGTGTCTGTGATTGAATTCTGTTACTAACCATGAAGTTAGTCACTTTGATCTAAGCCACTCCCAGTCCCACATTGTCTTGATCACAAGGCAGGCAAGAATCGAATCGTCACCAGATATTGCTAGATTAGTGACGTTCAAATGGGACAAAAAAAAAAAAAATTTGTGTAACTCAACAAGGTTTATATAACTGAGGTTTATATATGAACTCTTTTTTGTATAAGAATCTACAACCATGCAGGCTAACGGCCATTCCCTCATAGTCTAATTTCATGACACTTTGTTCAGCGTTTCCAGGTTGAAGTCGAGGTTTCAAACTTTAAGTCAGAGATTTCTTCAAGCAGCAAATTATAGAATGCTGACAAAGCACTCGTCTCCCACAATCTCTCTCTCTCTGTCATTATATAGCGACTTTCAATTCTTCCACTTTACAATTTCATCAGGACACTCTGCTCAATTTATCTAATAGCCAAAAATAATGCACGAGTCAGTTCTTTATGGTAGCAAATAACATGGGGGGGTTCAGAAAAGTGATCATCTCTGCCTCAACTGCTGCTCTGTCTGTTTCTCTTCTCACTCCTGGGATCTCTGCATGGCTATTTATGGAGTCCAAACTTCAAAAACCAGGTTGGGGTTGGCTTGTTATGGTGGTGCTGCGGGGTGGCCCTTTTATGTCCTGCGGAGGTGGTGGCGTGGAGAGCAGTAGCAGCACGGCAATCTGTCATCTTGTTCTCCCCTCTTCTCTTGCTCGCACCTCACACCAGTACCTTTCAGTGGGCGTATTTACTTTCCTGCTACTTCCTCATATCAGCTCCCCATACTGCCGCCATCCAGGAAATGGGTGTACCACCTAACCCATGAATGCCTGACACAAAACATATGTTATTTTTTAATATCACTGTAAAATTATTATCCTCATTCCTTTATTCTTAATTATCACGTTTGGTCCATAACTATTCCTTTTTTCTCCCCCACTTGACCAAAATTTTCCAGCCTGAGAAAATCTTGTTCCTTTAGTGACACGCACATCTTCCACCCTTGTCAACAAATGACATAGAATCATTTCTTTACCTTTTCCTTCACCTACTTGTCGACTTAAAATTATTATCTAACTAGCTTGGTGGTCTCTATCCAAAATTGCACTCCCCTCACATTGTCCCTTGGGCTTCACCTTAACCAGATGCCTAAGTGGATTTCAGTGCTATCTTCTAGCGAGGTCCTTATCCACAAAATGAGAAACAAAATAAATAAAAGTATATTTTCTTTTGTTTTCAGTATGTCCTTCAATCTTTCTACTACCTTCTTCATACTCACAAAATGAGAAAACTAGAATATAATTTGTCTTGTTTTTGGTATGTCCTTCAATATATCTACTACTTTCACTATTTACATTATTCAGACTATTGTTCTCATCTTTGTCACCATATTTATTACAACGTTTCAGCCATTGTACGCTCCGGCCTTCTTCAGATGGTTGGAATGTTGAACTGAACCCTTTATTTTGCTCACTGGGGTAGACTGTTCTAGTTCCATGTGTCAGTTATCAATTATCTCCTGTTAATTCCCCTCTGAAAGTTCTCCACTGCCTTAACCGGGTATTGAATTCACACTCTTTGGGTCCTGTCACTGGCTCTAACAAACACCTTTATCCACTGTGCCATGTGTCCTTGAGGATCTGTGTAAGAATTTCTGGGTATTACAAATCCTAATGTCTTCAGCAATCGTTTTTTACCATCATTAGATCTGACATGCCTTAGACTAACTCAACTACGTAAGACCTGTTGATCAGACAAAACCTGAATAATGATTTAGAACACATACTACCTGATTATCAAAATATACATCTGCTCTGTAGCATAAACAAAGACAATTTTTATTTTAGGAAATGGATTACATCCAACAGATTTTTAATTTATTTGTTTAAATGTTATTTTGTAGGTACCACCACTCAGTTTCAATACCTAAGGTTTAAAATGAATTTTAAAAAATGAAAAAGCATTCTTGAAGCTTTAATTGAAAGCTAAATGATTAAATTTACTATTTCCAGTAAACAAAATACTCTGGTGTATTTCAAATAGAAATTTTGATTGGAATCTCTGCATTTTTTTTACCAAGATTTTCTAAAAAAAATTCAAAAATAATTTCATTCATTTGTGAATAAGTACTGAAACTTTCATTAAAATCCGACAATTATTTGATTTTTGCAAGAATTTCCAAATTAATATTTTCCCCTGCTCAAATTCACCATACAAATTTATCGTCCCGCATTGATACCAGAAAAAAAAAAAAAAATGATTTTTAACCAAAATTCAGGCAGTACCTCCCATTGCACTAAGGAGCGTTAGGGTCAACACTTTGTTATCTAAAAAGCTTTCTAAGGTGAAATGCTGACGAACTGGATAAATTTTGCTACTAATCTCACATATATACGTATATAAGAAAAAGGCCTTAGGGCTTATTCAGCTACGTTGGAAAAACTTAATGAATACTGACATATGATGACCAGAGATTTAACTCTCAACTGAATCCGTTAAAAACCGTTTACTTTACACATTCTTTTAGGTCTTAATGGATCACATTGTGATTAAATACGTTTTAAATTAATTAATATTTGCTTTAAAAACCTTTTGTAGTAAAATTTATTGGCAAATAATTCGCTTTGACCGGTAAATATTTTTAATAAAATGAAACACTAGAAACTAAACACATGCATAATTTTTTTTAATTTCCAAATCATCAGAAATAATCAAAATAATTTCAAGCAAATTCCTTCATACTCAATTACTGCGAAATAAATTATAATTAAGAGAAAAAAAAGCTAAATTTATGAAATGAGAAAATCATTTAAAAAGAGATAAAAATCAAAATCCAATCGACATTTTCAATTTCACTTATGGTTATTGATTGGCAGATGAGGATAATAAATACAAACTTTGACTTACTTCTACTCTGCCATCAATTCTGTAGCCAACATTGGACATTACATTGGCAGAGACAGGCACTACATCTTCCATAACAACTTCAGAAGCATCAGATAAACAAAAAATTAACAAAAATGATGAAAGACATAAGCGCAAAACAGACTCCATCACGTTTGTGGCGGCCATGTTTGTAATGTCAAGAGTAAAGTTGCTACAAAAATGGAATTTAAGATTAAGCGAAACGAATTGGTATTTTAACATGGGAGTTTTACAAATTTTCCCGCAGAATTCAATTAATACATTTTATTCTCTAATAACAAATATTTTTTTATGAATTGCATAAAAATATAAACAGTGTTAAATAAAATGCAACCTCATTTTTGTTAAGAAATAAATTGTAAAAATTTATCTTGGTCTTTTTTCTTTTTAAGTAAGTAGACAAAAAAATTTTAGGGTATCTCCTATCTTTTTAACATCCGAAATGTTTTTACTTTTTCGAATACAAATACCGAACTATAGTAGATTGCTTTATTCAGATATGTATTCTGAACAAAATAAAAAATGAAAAATTTCTGTAACCATACTTTAATTTTTTCTCGATTAATAATACTCACCAGTTGTATTCACCTTTTTGTGTCTCTCTCTTGTTCATCTCTTCCAATATCATAGGGATTTTCCAAGCGTAGCTTAGATGTGGCATAAGGCCGAAAGTAGTGGCACCCAGTGAGGATCGAACTCACTATTCAGTTGTAATGGTTCTCTAACGTGACAAGCTTGCTAACCATTTACACCATGTTGTGATGCCCCTCTTCCAATACCATGCCATAATGTATGACTTTTCAGTACAACTAAGCCCAAGGATTGAACTCTCAACTACTAGGGAACCAGATAGGTTTTAACTAATTCACACATCTCTTGGATAATACAGTGGTGAAATTTTGTAGTCTTAAGACTGTATGGAAGTTATAACTCTGAATAAATAATTTCACCTCCACTAACATTTATATATACAAAAATACTCATAAAAACAAGAAGCAGCAAGATGTGGAAACAACAAAACAAGTATTATTTATTATCTGGTTGTTATGTGGCATTAGAGAAACAAGAGACAGTAATACTGAGTAAAATTGTTAGTTTAGTGTCAAATGTAAACTGAATATTGATTGGAATCTGACAGAATGATATGATAAAGAATAAGTAAAGTGTATATAGTTTTGTTTGTATGTTGTTTTTTTTTTTTAATAGATGTGTTTAATGAGTGTCCAAATAATTTAGTTTGAAAAAATACAAGAAGTATCTGGAGTTTTCTTAACCTCAAATTTTTGTTGGGTGCTAAAAGATAAATGTTACTATTACAGCCCTAAAAAGTGATGAAATTTTTGTTGATGCATGTGTTAATGACCTATCCGTCTGAACTGCTTGTCCAATAGTGAGAATGTTACATGTTTGTGTATGTAGAGGAGAAAAGTGGTGTTGATTCTCATTGGTTTAGAATGAATGAATTAATAATAATTGTTATATTTTTTATTATAATTATTTTTTTGACATATTAATTCTTATTTATTTTTTTTAGGGATATCTGTACTCAGGTAGTGAAGGTTTTGAGTGTCTGTTCATTCTTAATCAGCTATTTTAGATTTCATTGTGCCTTCTCTTAGGATAGACAGCCTTTCATATCTGATGGTTTCACACCCACAGATTAAACCAACAACAGATCAAAAATATTTTTCTTTAAATTCCAGGAAGCTTCAAGAAACAAAATTTTTCCATTCTTTTCCCAATCTTCAATCTTTCTCCAGCACTCATTGTCTAAGCATTGTTGTCTGACATCTCATTTGATACTTGCGCTGAGTGTACCCTTTGTTTTATTCTGTGAAATTTGGAATGAAAGCATATTTTATTATTTTTTATTACCTAAGTATAGAAAAATGTTTTTAAAAGTTGCTTTCAAGAGATTTTTAAAGTTAAGGTGTTTTTGCCTCAAAATCTTGTAATGCAAATTATTTTTTTTATTTACCTGTAAACAACTTATAGGAATTAAATCCTACTTTTCAAACAATAAAATCCCATCAGAAGTTTTGTTTGATACACAATCATTACAAAAGTAATTACTGCTAAAATATTTGGCAGACATAGTTGTAGATCTACCATGTTTTACTTTTGGACCATTTAAAAACTAACAATAATAACTCCCTTCACCACTCCTGCAAATTCGAGAAAAAGATTTTTGTGAGTTGGTGTGAAATTATTTTCTAACCAATGAAAACCTTGTATTCAAAAAGTTCACATCTCTATGTGAAATTAGATTTCAGATCCTCCTTATGGATATAAAAATAGAGGCATACTGTTTCTCGAGGCTCAAAACAATTTCAGAGGCCAGTTTGATCTACACATATGTTCACACACAATGGAAAAGATGACAGCCAACAGCTGCTAAGGCCTTGTCCATGCACACAATAGAAGTGAAGAACCAGCAGTTGCCAACTAAGCCTTTGTCTATGAACTCACAAACACATTCGGTTGACAGACATAAAGTAAGTCTTTCCACACATTTCACACAGCCCTATGAACACTTAATTATTGGATAAAACAAACTTCACTACAAGGAAAATTGAACATTTTATTGTCATTTTTGAAAAGAATATATAAATGTAATTTCAACTGATGATGTTCTGCTTCTACTTTTCCTTCAGTGCATAAACGGTTTTATGTTTCATTTAAAAGATGTGTTGTTGTTAAATGTTTGGAATCCCGACACTCAGCAAAAAAAAAAATCCGATTAGATGGATCCCAACAAACTTTTCATGTTATCACTTTTCACAAATATCTTTTGTTATTTCTGTCTGAATGTCTGAGATTGTTTGGTTTAGTTTGTCTTAAGGCATATCAACCTCAATGGGTTATTTAATGCCAACAAAATTTTTATTGCTGGTAATATTTTGTTTTGTCAAAAATCTGTTTTTGGTAATATTTTTCCTTCAAAATTGTATTGCTGGTAATAATTTTTTTCAAAAATGTATTGCTGGTAATAGTTAACTATTTGCCCATAGCTGGGACCCTAACAGGTGCCACCACCCCAGGTCAGGGTGGACCTGGGAACACCAGCAATTAAGAGGTGGTTCCACGCGAATGTCCGAGATGAGGAGTTATCATTATTTACAATTGGCCTATTGTCCTCATCCTTGTTATTAACATAATATTTCAGCCACTGTACCCTGTGACCTTCATCAGGTGCTTATTGCTCCATGTAAACTTCAGGGAATTTTGAATTGAACTTTGTAGAATAATTGGCCATGGTTAAGTGTAATTGGGAGAAATGCCCAACAAAAAATTGACATAGTTTGCAATAAACAATAAGAAAGGAAAGAAAAGAACAGAGTAAAGATAATACGAATCAAACAATGTATATATGCAATACAAAAGTAGGCAAAATAACAGTAATAAGGCAAAACGTTCACAAAGTAAGAATAGTGTTAACACACAAAAGGGGGTACAGACAAGTGATCACAGCATTTTGACTTCAAGACAAGAAAGAACAGAAATGTGGCAGATGAGACCTGAGCAATGGCGTATCTTATTGACTAGGAAGAAATCCCAGTATGCATCTGAACAATTTTCCTATAAATTTTGGGAGGGGAGGTTTTAAGAATTATTCCTACAGATTGAAACTAACAATCCCTTTATTTAATCTATCTATGAGATAACTATATATATTTTTATATATCAATATATATTAAATATCAAAGTGGAAAAAGTAAACATTTTTTACTGTGTATTTGGGAAATTTTATGACAAAGTGAAAAATGTTTACTTTTCCATTTTGTCATAAAAAAATATATATATATATATATATATATATATATATATATATAGAGAGAGAGAGAGAGAGATCCACAGGTATCCCTGTTTTGCTGTATCACAGCTTGTCAGTGTGGCTAGACATCTGGTTGCTTCAAGCAGGGATCGAAACTTGACTGATTTGACATCAGTCAGAGCTTCTTACCCTAGACTATCGGTGCACAACAGAGAAAGTAAATTTTTAACACATTATATACATGGTATATAAATGCTATACTGGCTGCCATAGTGCTCAGTTCTTATGAAGAGCGATGCAGCAGACATTTAAAAATTCCCTTTTCTCCATAGTACTCAATCAGTAAACAAGAAAATCTGTCAGCTGATTGATGTTACTTTCAGCATCCTGACTTGAGTTTCGTAGACAGACCCTCCAGCAATCACTCCATCTACTCTGCAGAGGATATCACACACTACTGAGATTGTTTCTTTCTAATTAGTTAAAAAAAGTGGTTCCCCATAGTTGAATAAATTCTGTCCCAAATAGGAATAGAAATATACAAAAAAGTTTCATGAATCCATATCTTCCTGAAGTCAGTCTAAACTAACACCTTTTTTTTTTCCATATATTACAACTATTTTGCTTAGTCTGTAGTTTTTTGATTTCAGATGAAGACTTGGAAATTTTCCAACATATTTCAGTGAAATTTTTGCTTTCCAAAGTTATAGTTTAAATATATTTCTATAGAATTAATCGATTTATTTTTATTCTTCAAACTGTTTACTCTATAAAGGAGAACACCGATTTGATCCCTGCTGGAGAATGCATTTTCTTTACTAAGATTTCTTCAATGCACTGACAGATATAATACAGACTGTTCAGTAAATAAAAATGAGTCATCTATTTCAAATACAAAGTAGTCACTAAAATAACATTTGAAATAATAATAAAGTTTAAATATATGAAGAAACAAAAAGGTGTCAGTTTAAACTTTTGCCAGGAGGAAATGGGTTAAAATTTTCTAATGTATAGGATTCAGATCCTATATTGTCCTCCAAACTTCAAAAATTAAACAAAACATAGGCTCCAAATTAAATTACACAACAGAACTGACGTAATTTGAATAGTTCAAAATATCAGATGACATGTTGTCTACTACATCTGCATGTCTGAGCTTAATTTGACCTGATGAAAGGTACAGTTGTGCCAAAATTTTAAAACATTTTCTGGAGCCTATCACATGACTTATATTGATTATATAAACAACAAACAATTAAGAAACATGTAGTGGAGAAAAATCAGCCGCAAAAGCTACACGCTATGTGACAACACTCATCATAAAATAACTTTCAACTGAAGTCCAGACTATAAGTTCAAAATCCTTTTTACC